GCAAAGTGTGTTGGTCCCACATCCTAGCTAAGGCATTCTCTGGTTGTGGTTGCTCGTTTCGGACTAAAATCTTCAACTTTCCAAAAAATATAAATCGAGGTATTTCAATTTAGTTTTTATCGAAACTCGTATAGAAAATGCATATTAGTTGTTTTAAATGTGTTCTATGTTGTTTTGTATTTTTTTACGATTAAACTGGTATGTGATTTTTATCCGAACTTAAATATTAGTGTGCTAAAAATGTAAAAATTGAGAAACCATTATTATTTGTTAAAATAAATATTAATAAGTTACTTTTTACTGTTGTATATATATTTTCATGAATATTTTGTGATTAAATGTATTTGTTGTTTTTATCTAATTTTTATTATTTATTTGCTTAAAGACTAGTAATATCGTGTCATTTTAGGATAGTAAAATGTAATGTCTTTTAGCATAGTATTCCTGTAGTTTAAGTTTCTCTTATAATCAAAAATACGTCAAAATACTTGATAGATCAAACACAAACTCTGTCCAATTATAGTCAACGATCGTAAGAAAACAACATGAGAAAAGAACAATATTTTCCGGATATCTTGGTGCTACTGGGCTGCAAATATCGAGTCTGAAACTCATATGTTAATATTTAATAATTAACTATTGTATAAATATAAAAATTAATTATTGGAATTTACAAACAAACATATAAAATTATAAAACTAACATGTAAAATATAAAACTAACACATACCAGAATTCAGGATATCTTGGTGATGTTTGGCCTCAAATATTGAGCCTGAAACCCCTATGTGAATACATAATAAGTAAATATTGTATAATTATAAAAATTAATTATTTAATTTACAAACAAACATATAAAATTATAAAACTAACATGCAATTAATGTTGTTTAATTTATAGTAGATGACATGGAGGTGCCGCCTATTCATCCTGGACCTTCCAGCAATGAGCTACTGTCATTCCAGGGCGATCATAGGTCCGCCCACATATGGGAGGGAGAGTTACTGGCCTAGACTCTCTGCGTCAGGAGAGTGGACGACGTATGGGACTTTCTAAAGCGCAAAGTTCTTCATCCCCGTGTAGTCAGACGCCTGCAGGATACGGGCTTCTACAGGATTTTGGAGATCGGGCGAATGCAGCTCGATTGGTCTTTGGTAACGGCCCTGATAGGGCTGTGGCGACCGAAGACGCACACATTCCACTTGTCTATTGGGGAGGCCACCATCACAATGCAGGACGTGGAGGTTATATATGGGCTCTACCGCAAGGCATGAGAGAGATGACAGGTGCGCAATACCTGGACATGCTGCAACAGCTCACTGGTTTTCGGCCACGGGATGAGAATGCACTAATTGGGGCCAATCGTTTTCCGTTGACGACTATTCGAAAGTATTTGGAGATATTGCATCCTGACATTGATGGCAATACATCAAATTATCATGTTCACCAATATACGAGGTTGCTGTTACTCCTTATGTTTGGAGGGGTCTTGTTCCCGAACACTTCGGGGAACCTAGTCAGTTTGAGATTTCATCATCATCTTGAGCTGCTAGATGATTTACCCCAGTACAGCTGGGGTGTTGCTGTTCTCCCCTACTTGTACATGCAAATATGACGGGCGAGCATAGGCACCCAAAGTGACGTTGCTGGATTTTTGCCGCTACTACAGGTGACAACATATTCGAATACTCTACTCATTTTAACATACCTAGTAGAAATATATCTTAAATTTTACGTCAACTTTTTATGTTAGGTTTGGGCCTGGGAGCAGTTCCTGCAGTTGCAGCCACCTCTACCACCATTAGCTCCGAATGTACCACCTTTATTTCTCCCTCTAGCTAGGAGGTAGGTTCTCCGACGGGGATATACGCGTAAGTACAAGGCTCGGCATAATCTCCCCTTGTGCAGGGATATCTTGGATTTACTGGAGGGCGCACAGGGATATCTTGGATTTGCTGGAGAGCACACAAGTAAATGTATACCTAAGTTTACTTCGCATAGCTTCACATATGTTGCATATACTCGCATTTTTTGTTGTTACTTAATAGTCATCTGGACGACATACAGCGACGTGCTGATTTCTGGCTTGCCCGCTTATTACTCGACCAGCAAACTTATGTGGGGCTCTTCCGTCCCGTTGATCTGTCTTGATATTGTGGAGCATCACACCACCGAGCAGGTACTTCGCCAGTTTGGTCATCCGCAGCTCGTATTAACGGCCAGCTCGATAAGTGGGATTCCCGACGAAAAGTCAGGTAATGTCTCGATACCAACCCATATAATCAAGCTCAGTATCCTACCAACTAGGTGAGGGGGGGCAAAATCAGATCGTCGGTCCCAAATATTGATCTACTCCTTTAGTCATGCCAGATATGCCTGGTCCACCCTAGAACGATCATCCCGCTAGAAATATATGGTCTATGAGGTGGGCGATATCAGTACGAGCTACGGACGGCAAAACTACGATGTAGCCGTCCGATGACGTAATGCTCCACAATATCAAGGCACATCAACGAGACAAAAAAGACCCACATAAGTCTGCCTACCAAGCAATATGCGAGCGAGCCATCTATCAGTGCGTCGTTGTATGGCATCCAAATGACTATTAAGTAACAACAAAAAATGTTAGTATATGCAACACATCTGATACCTTTGCGCCCTTCAACAAATCCAAGATATCCCTGCACAAAGGGAGATTATGCCGAGCTAAAAGAGCACTACATTTTACAACGCTAAAAGGGCACGATATTACTAATCTTTAAACAAATAAATAATAACTAGATAAAAACAGCAAATACATTTAATCACAAAAATATATATATACAACAGTAAAAAGTAACTTATTAACCTTTATTTTAATAAATAATAATAATTTCTAAATTTTTACATATTTTTTAGCACATTAATATTAATAACAACGACCCAGTAAAATTCCACAAGTGAGGTCTGGGGAGGGTAGTATGTACGCAGACCTTACCCCAACCCCAAAAGAGTAGAGAGACTGTTTCCGAAAGACCCTCAGCTCAAGATAATAAAAAAAACAAAAATGAGAGAATATTAGTTTCACCACAGAGATCATAGGAAAAATAGGAACATAAAATGCAGAAGGAAAAATGCAAAACAAAAATAATGGCTAGTAAGACACTGCAACGCCCCTAGTTATTTCAGAGAAAAACCCTACCAGACTCGACTCACAACAGTATAAGATAACGCAAGACTCAGCTACCTCCTAGCCTAACCCCGTAATACTCGACCTCCATAACTTATTATCAAGTGTCATGTCCTCAAAAATCTGAAACCTCGTCATATCCTGTCTGATCACTTCTCCCCAATACTTCTTAGGCCGTCATCTACCTCTTCTCGTGCCCTCCACAACCAGTCGCTCACACCTCCTTACTGGAGCATCCAGGCTTATCCTCTGTACATGTCCGAACCATCTAAGTCTCGCTTCCCGCATCTTGTCATCAATGAGAGCCACGTGCATCTTCTCCCGAATATCATCATTTCTAATCTTATCCATCCTAGTGTGCCCGCACATCCACCTCAACATCCTCATTTCTGCTACTTTCATCTTTTGGATATGTGAGTTCTTAACAGGCCAACACTTAGCCCCATACATCATCGCCGGTCTAACCACCGCTTTATAGAACTTACTTTTGAGTACCGTTGGCACTCTCTTGTCACACAACTCCAGATGAACCTACACTTCATCCTATCCCAATATGGTGTGCGACATTCTCATCGATCTCCCATCTCCCGTGAATAACCGAACCAAGGTACTTGAAACTACCTCTACTTGGGATAACTTGTGATTCAAGTCTCACATCCACACCCACTTCCCCTGGCTCAGTGTTGAACCTACACTCCAGGTATTCCGTCTTCGTTCTGGTCAACTTGAAATCTTTAGACTCAAAAGTCTGTCTCCAAACTTCTAGTCTCCCGTTAACCCCGGCTCGTGACTCATCAATCAGAACTATGTCATTCGCAAATAGCATGCACCACGACACCTCCCCTTGAATATGGTTTGTTAATGCATCCATCACCAAGGCAAATAAGAACGAACTAAGCACAGAGCCTTGGTGTAACCCCATTTCAACCAGAAAATGCTCAGAATCACCTCTTACTGTCCTAACTCAAGTCTTTGCCCTATCATACATGTCCCTAATCGCCATAATATAGGGAATCACCACACCTTTTGTCTCCAAGCATCTCCAGAGAATTTCTCTAGGAATCTTGTCATACGCTTTTTATAAGTCAATATTTAAGTCCGGATAAAAATAACATACTAGTTTAATCGCAAAAAAAAACACAAAACAACATAAAACACATTTAAAACAACTAATATGCATTTTTATACGAGTTTCCACAAAAAACTAAATCGGAATACCTTAAATTTACATTTTTTGGAGAGTTGAAGAATTGAAGATTAGTCCGAAACGAGCAACCACAGCAAAAGAAAGCCATAGCTAGGATGTGGAACCTACACTCTTTACTTTTTATAGGATGGGTAAGGTCCACTCATATATTTTTGGGTCGTTAATACGGAGAGTGGGCGACCGCTAGATCGATTTAAAAATTAAGGGGGAGCTTCTTTTTGCACATGGGGAAAGGGAAGGGGACGGGTATTTGGAAATGAAAAGCGTGATTTATTAAGGCATTTTATATATAGCGCTTTATTAAACCACGCTTTATATAAATGTCTAATCAACTTCAGGTAAAGCATATTTCGTAAAAGCGTTTTATATAAAACGCGATTTTAAAACAGGCTTTACCTTAACATCCACTTTGGACTTTAAAGTAAAGCACGCTTTAAAACTACGTTTTATATAATTTGGTCACTTAATTTTTTTTTACTTATTTCGGTCTTTTGAGTCCAAAAATACCACATTTAGATTTTCGACTCCTCAGGATAGAACCAATAGTAAGCCTCTATACTTTTGATGTAAGACCATGTCAGTTACAATCGTTTGACATTTGGCAGGTCATGGAGAAGCAACAGGAGAAATATTTAAGGCAAGCAAAGCTTTCATTACTGGGTCAAATCATTCATCACACCACTGAAATAAGACTTCATCATTGTTGTAACAGACACCTTGTGTCCAATCAGTCATCAATCAGGCTAAATCTAACTTTTGAAAATCAAATCCTGGAAAAATGTTCACAAAGTACTCCCAAAACAATATACAATGTCCTGAATGAGATATTCATGCGACTCTACAAATACATGACTAAAATGGGTGAACAAGAGTAACTAAATGAATGAAATATTCATACTAGCCAAAACTGCAAATGATCCGATTGGTATGTCTAACCAGAATAATAAAACATCAAGTTTTAAAGTTTGATTGAGACGGTTTAACAGAAGTGATAATATATTTATAAGATTAGTTAAACTAAGAATCGAATTCTCACATTACATTTGAAAACAGGAACTTGAGATGTTATCTTATCTATCAAGACTGGGACGTTTCCGTGAGCTAATTAATCTGAAAAACAGACTGCTATTAGGCCAAGCACAAATGTAATTTTAATGAATAGAGTTGGAATTGTACCTTTAGAAGAGCGTTGCGTCAGAGACAAATTGCTAACGCCTATGTAAAAGGCAATTTCGGATTGTACCTCTTAAGGGAGTGCTGCAGTTGAACCAATAACCATTTGCTTGACCGTCGTTGTGTTAATTGAATGCACGAGTTAATTGACCGGTTTGTCATGAAGTTTGGGACGGATCCAGAGAAAGGGAGGGAGGAGAAAACAAGACAAACAGAGAGGAGAGCCGGGTAAAAATCCCCGTACCATCTCCTCTCCAACACGAAAAAGTAGAATTTTTATTAGGTACTTGACCTGCCATGAGAGCGCACCCATCATGGCAAAGGTCGAATTAACAACAACAAGACCTCGCTGATACTCACAGTTTTACCTTTGATCTGCAAGTACAGATGCATCCCTATAATCCACATCTTATAGTTCATATAGACAATAAATTAAGTTATGGCAATCATTCTCAACGCCGCTGATGTCCATTTCTCGACAGTCAAAGCGTGCAACCATCCAAATAGCATCGCCGCAAACAACGGAATCACCGTAAATCCGAAGAAACATATATTGTTCTTCATCAAGAAACAGATCTGCAATTCAGAACAAAGCAAGATCTCTGGTAGCTACGGGATTCATCAGAAAATTAGAGATTAGAAAAGTCCGGATGAATCTTTACCTTCCTCGATCCTCTACCAAGCGCATGAGATCCAGCCGACTTAAATATGGAATCTTTGCTTCGCCACCGGCAACGGGGACGAAGATCGAACAACAGAAACATCGTTCCCCTGGTCGATCTCGATGAACGAGCATACCACAGGAACAAATCGAATCCATAATCAAATGATAGATCGGAAAACGATCTACTCAAATCTGAATATGAAATCCGGAAAAGAGAAGAGATTAAGAGGATCTGGATAAAACAGAGATGGCCACAGAAATGAACAGTTGAGATGACGACATGGAAATGAGAAGCCCGATAAACGTAATTTATTGAGGTAGTGGAATAAATTGACGGTCTAAGATGAAACGGCTTGGGAGACATTTATCGGTTTGGATACGCGGGGACCGTAGATTGCGGTAAACAATTTAACGTCGAATATGGAACGCCTGCATATCTTTCTTTTTTTTCCCTCGTTACCAGGACACAATAACTTTGCCAAAGTAGTACTTTTTTTTCGTTGGCCAAGTGAAAATGTGGTTTTTTTTTACTCAAAGTACACAAATAGATGGTAAAAAAATAAAATGACATTTTTATGTATAGCGCCATAATACCTGGCGCTATATACTAACAGTAACGGAACCGTCAAGGTATAGCGTCAGGTATTGTGGCGCTATACTATTAAAGCTGACATGGCCAGGTATAGCGCCACAATATCTGGCGTTATATATACAGCATTAATGTATAGCGTCAGGTATAGTGGCGCTATACATAGATTTCCTGGCCCCACCAATAATTCGTGACTTCAATAATTCAAAAGTGTATAATGTCAACCTTTTGGGCGTTATACCTATATAAAAAAAATCTCCGGCTAGCCATTTCCTATATAAAGAGGTTAGAATTGTATAGAAATTCATTCAAAAAATTTGTTACCTCTTGTTGAAACGTTTATTGTTCTTAAATTCTCCAGCATTTTTTATTATGTCTGAAGAGCGTAGAATAAGAGTTTCATTATATTGGGGGGTGAGGTTGTGATGGAGAATAACTCTGTGGGCTACAGTTTACCTGCTCAGTGTCATGTTAAATTACCACTTACAATAGAGTACGATAAATTGATATCGTTGTTATGCAAAAAACTGAGTGTGAGGAAACGTTCAGTGATACTTAAAGTAACCNNTCCCCAGTCATCGGGTGGTTATTATGGAGCAGTTTTTGCCGGACATGTTTCGGATGAAAGAGTTTTCCTTGACTTAAACTTATCACCACCGGCGAATGAGCAGCGAGAAAATAATTTATACCCTGTTTTCCATAATTCACAAGACGAGTGGTAAACTTCAATTTTCATTTGTGTTAATTATGTATATTTTTGGCGTATTGAATTTGTATTAACGCTCATATATTTAATAGGGGGTACCGGCCGGATATGAATTTTACAAGTGGCCNCCGGATATGAATTTTAAAAGTGGCCCATCCGGTAGTCATCACTTAATTGAAAACGCCCATCATGAAATTTAATCACATTACGACTTGTAAGTGAAGTGATAGAGCCATATGGAAATCATTTATTAATTTAGTAGCTTATATTTTTGTTGGTTGTGCAGTGAAAACGAGCAAGTTGAACCACCCGTACTTACTCAATTGACCGAAAATGACGTATTACATCGGGATCTGGCAGATGCACAGAGTGAGGAAAAGAACAGTGATTACGATAACAATGCCGATGAATCCGGAGACGAGACACCCTTTTTCGTGAGGATGGTGATGAGCAGGATGAGAAGGAAGGACCTGATTTGAAGAGAGAACCCCCTAGACGAAGAGTGTATGAGTCCGAAGTGTCGTTTCATTCAAGGGAGATTCCTTACATTTATAACTTGCCAACCGTGCCGGATGTGGAAGTTCTAACAAGGGATTTTGATGAAATTCGGACAGCAATGTGGGATGAGTCTAGACCAACGGTGCTTGCAAAGGGGATGCTTTTTCCTGATAAAACGCGCTTAAGCAGGGCTTGTAAAATGCACAACGTAAAAGAGTGTCGTGAGATGCAGGTATGAGAGTCAAGTCCGATGGTATACAAGGTTGTTTGCCGCAGGTGGTTTTGGCCATGTAATTGGATGTTGCGTGCGACCAAGAAGAAGACAGGTATGTGGAAAGTGGGTAAATACATTCCCACCCACACATGCGAAATGGACACATTCAACGGGAATCACTTCAACTTGGATATTGACTTGATTTCTCTTGTACTTATTCCGCATATCGAAGCGTCCATAAGGTATACAATCAAAGAGTGCATTACATCGGTCCACCAGGAATATGGCCATACTATTACGAAAAGAAAGGCATTTCTCGGGCGCAAACGAGCGTTTGAAATTGTCTACGGTAATTGGGATAAGTCATTTGCATATCTACCAAAGTACATGGCCGCATTGCAGCACTTTAACCCCGAGACAGTTGTTGAATGGTAGCTTGAGCAGAGTCCGGGAACACCGGAATACATATTCAATTACGTGTTCTGGGCGTTTAAGCCAACATTTGATGGTTTTTCGCATTGCCGGCCAGTAATATCCATAGACGAAACTCATGTCTATGGAAAGTACGATATCAAGCTATTGATAACTGTGGCAGTAGATGCTAATGGACAGATATTTCCTCTAGCTTTTTCTGTTTGTGCCAATGAAAGCACAGAGACGTGGACGCTATTTTTGAACCACATGAAAGAGCACGTTGTCAAACAGCGTTCAGGTATTTGTCTAATATCTGATCGGCACGGTGGTATATTAAGTTCTGTGGAGAACTTGCCTGCATGGCAAGAACCTTATGCATAC